CTGCCCGTAGCAGCGGGGTGAAGCCGCCGGTTCCCGGAAGAGGAGGTGAGGTGCGGCGTTGCCAGCTCTGTCGGGGTCTTTATCCCTTGCTTCTGTCCTGCCCGCTTGGCTTGGGTCGGGCTTCAAAAGAGCTGCCACAAGCGGTACTTACAGTGAGAAGGAGGCTGCAGCATCTCTTCATTTTGGTGACCTCTTTTTTTCATTCACCCCGTCAGAACAGTGGTAGTTGTTCCTCATACTTCTTTAAATACATCTTTGCTTTCTTTACATAAGCTTTTCAGATAGCAGTATCTGAATTCTCTGATGGGGTCAATAAACTGGTTTGAATTGCAACACAATATTTGCTTTAGTAGAGAACTGAACCACGTTCCGTTGGTTATGGGTTTTGTGTTTGTGGGTTTTTTGTTCTTGTTTGTTTGTTTGGGGGGTGTTATGATTTGGTTTTTTTTGGCCTGGGCTTTGAAGTAGTTTGAAGTGCTGTTATACTTGATGTGTTGTAAGAATGTTGTGGTCCTACAGTGCAACAGTGCTGTTTGCTATCCTTCATGTAAAGCTACTGTTAACAGCAGTCTCCTGGCTCTCCCCTGAGGGTCAGACCCCTCAGCAACTCCTGCATACTGAACACATGTGCATCATCAACCAGTTTGTAAATCTGTATCTTGGCAGGCAGAAAAAATTGGTTCAAAATGCTTTTTTTTCTTTTTAGTGGAAAAACTATAAAAAGGTTTGGAAATTGTTTTAACATTTGCTGAAATGCATTTTGAAGTCCTGGCATCTAGATAACACATAAATTGGGAAGAGGTAACATGATTTTGGGTAACATACACGATCTGTCATGAGTCCTAAAAAAACCCAAACAACAAATGAACAGAACTTAGAATGCTAATTTATTTGAATAGGGCATAACTTATTTGGTAAATATTGTTTTTAAAAGATATCTGCAGATGGTTAGGTTCATCTGGTCTTTAAAATTACTTCTTTCCCCATGTTATGCCAGATTCAGTACATTCTAAGACCATAGCAAAGTCTCTTCTGCCAAACTTTGAGTGAATTTACACAGAAATCTAAGTGAATGCTATTTAAAAAAAAACTGTAAAGCCTTTAACACAGTCCCTCGCAACATCCTTCTCTTGAAATTGGAGAAATATGGATTTGATGCGTGGACTGTTCAGTGGATAAGGAGTTGGTTGGAAGGTCGCAGCCAGGGGGTAATAGTCAGTGGCTCGGTGTCCAGATGGATGCCGGTGATTAGTGGTGTCCCTCAGGGGTCCGTACTGGGACCGGTGCTGTTTAACATTTTTGTCAATAACTTAGCGAGATCAAGTGTACCCTCAGCAGGTTTGCAGATGACACCAAGCTGAGTGGTGCAGTTGACACACCAGAAGGACGGGATGCCATCCCGAGTGACCT